TCTCAGAGAACTTCAAGTGTATAAGTTATTATTAACTGTAGTCACCATTCTATACATTAGATCCCTGCAACTTATAACTAAACGTTTGTACCTTTTACCAACCTCTCCCCGTTTTCCTCACCCCTCAGTGGATGGGTTTTCTGGCTGCTCAGGGACGTTGGTTCCATAATGAACTTGAACTTGAATGCAGTACTGAGCTGCTTGCCAACATGAAATGGGATACTGGTAATTTATGACACACAGTGACATCATGATCAAGCCACATATCACCTGATTGATAATGATAAAGTGCTGACTGAAGCCAAGTGCCCTAGGGGACCATGTGGCTGCTGCATGTGACTGTTATGGCAGTAAGGTGACCACAAGGACTGTGGCATGGGAAGGATTCTAAGGATACTGGTTTGTTTACAGAAAAAATGACAAGATCAAGACTTAAAAAATTTTTTTTTCTTTATTGATTTTTAGAGAGAGAGGGAGAGATAGAAACATCAATGAGAGAAAACATAGATTGGTCTTCTGCATGCCCCCTACTGGGGATTGGACCAACAACCTGGGCATGTGCCCTGACCAGGAATTGAACCAGTGGTCTCTTGATGCATGGGTCAACACTCAACTGAGCCACACTGTCAGGAGACAAGATCAAGACTTTAAACTTTCAGCCTAAGTCATGTTCAGAGACAGGGACATTTTATGACAGCCATAAAATAATCTTATAGCTTCAGGGCTGATATTGTTAAAAATCCAATACCTAGTTGAATTGTGCATGTTGCAGAATGTTTTAAGTGTAGTTCACAGCCTCAGGAACTCTTTCATGTGGGAGAAATGGCACTGATTGATTATGAAGGAGTGGAGCCCAAGTCTTGTGGACATCTAGGTGGGCTCAGACAAAGTTGAGCCCTAAAGCAGCCCATCCTCTGGTATCTGAGGAGAGGAGCTTTCCTGTGTTAGAATATCCTATAATAATCTCACCTGAGCAGTTGTCTTGCAAGGGGATGCCAGTTCTCCTCAAAGCCCACACCAACCACACTAGTTCCCACTTGCACCGTAACTAGTCAGATCAGCATGCTGTAGGGAGCAAGCACAAATGCTGATCCAGGAGGAAATAGCTTATATGCCAAAAGAATTGCAAGTTTTGCTCACTATTGCCAGCAGAAACCTGGAGAATATGCGTGGGAATGGATCTAAGGGTGTTAGAGTAAGGAGGATGGGATATGATTTTGCATCTGGTGAATCTATTAATCTGGGTGCACTTCCCACAAAGCCTGTATTTGACATGTTACCTCATACAGCTGAATGTTATTTTGTCAGTTTTCTTGGTTGGTTGGCTGAGCACTGAACTCAGTGGTGGCCTGTGTTTAATGAGATTAAGATGCAAGAATGTCCCTGGCATCATGTAGAGAAAGAAATCCAAAGACTTAGTAAGATCAAGTGCTGAAGTGGATTTATCATGCGTGATGTGCACACCCACTGCCCATGAAAGGGCCCAGAGGACACTCCCTTCAGCAAGGCATTGAGAGACCATGGTGAGGGAGGCACCAGCATCCGGAAATAGCTCTGAGGTCACCATTCTCTTCAGGTCACGGATGATGGTGGGAGATACTGTATTGAGATGAAGTCCCTGATTTTAGTGGGGATAATAGGGTCCCAGATGTTTGGGAAAGTGGGAGAAGTAAGGCCAGAGTTGGAGGAATAGAGGAGTCTCATTCATGGTTTTTAAAGGCAAAAAAGAACTGTGTTTTTGTATCCATGTATGACAAAGCTCCAGTGGTCATCTCCCCTATAGGCATGTGGTATATACAGGAGGCTTCTGATCTTACTCTATATCATGTCCTGTAGTTTGGAAGACTTTTACCATGAGAATCAAGACATGGATTGCATGGGTTAAAAAGGAAAAGAAGCCCGGCCGGTGTTGCTCAGTGGTTGAGCATTGACCCATGCACCAAGAGGTCACCGGATCGATTCCCTGTCAGGGCACATGCCCAGGTTAGGGGCCAAATCCCCAGTTGGGGGCATGTAGGAGTGGCCGATTCATGTTCTCTCTCGTCGATGTTTCTATCTCTCTCTCCCTCTCCATTCTTCTCTTTCTAAAAGTCAATTAAAAAGAAAAAAAATTAAAGAAGAAAAAGAAAAGAAAACGTTATCAGGGACTATTTCAAACATGCACTAAAGCAGAGAAAATTGCACCATGTGCTCTCGTGTTCCCCAACTTAAGCCATTAATTGATAGATAAGCTTCATTCAGCCCATTATATTTTTTCCAGTTTTACTGAGGTATAATTGACAAATAAAAATGATATATCTTGAAGGTGTGCAACATGCTGAATTTATATATGTATATATGGTGAAATATTTACCACATTCAAGGTAATGAACATGCCCATCAGCTCACAGTTACCTTCTTTATGTGTGAGAATGCTTAAGATCTACTCTCAAAGCAAAGTTCAAGTATATAATACAGTATTATAAGCCATAGTCACCACCTGGCCCATTATTTTAAAGCAAAGCAGTTGTTATATAATTTCATCTCTAAATTATTGTATTTATAAAATATGAGGAGTTTAAAAAATATATGTAACCACAAAACAACACACCTGGAAAAATAAACAATTATTCCTTTATCATAAAGTAGAACTGATGGTTATTAAAGTACTATAAAGGATGCTAGTGCTGTCTCTGAAAGCTTGAAGGATGCAGCCGGCTAACTTTCAGGAACCTTTAGTTTGTTTATTCTGTTCACTTTTGACCCTTGGAGGGGTTTTACTAAAACTCATCTCTCCATACCCCGGGTGGGACTCGAACCCACAATCCCTGGCTTAGGAGGCCAATGCCTTATCCATTAGGCCACCAGGGCTCACAAGAAATGTGCTGCAATAGTCTTAGACCAGTCTCTCAGTCTTCTCCTTGTTTCCTGCAGGTTAGGGATAGTCTCCTGGTTTCATCCCAGCCTTTTTCCTGCCCCCCAGTTCCAGATTCTGCTCGCACTCCCTCTCAGATCTTTTCGGCTCCCCAGCGTCCTTGGGCTAGAAAAGACTGAGCATGTGGAACTGAGCCCAAAGACCTGGTAACTCATCTCTTTGAACTGGGATATGATCCTCACTAAGGCTACAAGAAGTCAGGGGATCAATCCCAGAAGAACCCTTTCCCCCTCCTTTTAGGAGAATCCGTGTCCCGGGATAACTAACAGCAGGAAGGCATTTGCTAATGCAACATGTAGGAGCAAAGGGGAGAGGGGCCCAGGTTTCCACGTTTTTAGCAGAGCCCGGTGGCCTTAAGTCTTTGTCCTCAGGACTTGATAATGACTCTGTAGCTGCCTGGCTAGCTCAGCTGCAGAACATGAGCCTCTATATCATTAAAGAACCCAGCATTTACTTTCCTACCATAAGATGGGTGTTCTTTCCCATCTTTAAAATGTTTATCTTAATGATGTTTTCTTTTTAAATATTTATGAGCCCTGAATAAATCACTGGAACATCACCAAAACGATAAAAGTGAAAGTGACACTATGCATGACCTCAGGTCAGCTGAGCTGACCATGACCATGGGGGTCAGGGGAGGTCTGGTAGTAATGCTCATTCACTTACCCAGAATCCTTCGGAAAGAACTCCGTTCCTCAGAGCAGGTACAATTTTTTCTGGGTAAAATGATGACTCAGTCCTGGACATACTCCTCATATTTAAATTTTAATATATACATTCACGTAGTAATTTAAAGGTACTCTCTCAGTGCAAGAAATCGAAATAATCTTTTAGATTTTTTAAAAAGTATTTTTACTGTGGTATATATTTAAATTTGCCATTTTAACCACTTTTAAGTGTACAATTCAGCAGCATTAGTTACATTCACAGTATTGTGCAGTCATTACCACTATTTTCAAACCTTTTTCATCACAATAATCTCTTACATTTTAAAATGTACACTGGGGCAACTCCCCTACCTGGTACCTCCCCCGACAGTTCGATCCATCTGTCAGTTTTCCTCCTCGGAACTATATTTTATGTAACCAATTCCCAGTGGGATTGCCGTCAGCGTTGGTTCCTGCAGTACCATCGGAGTCGCCACTGGTGTACTTCTGACCCTTAGAGGTGGAAAATATTAAGCAGAGGGAGGAAAACCAACCTCAGCAGCGACCACGAAGGGACTTGAACCCTCAATCTTCTGATCCGGAATCAGACGCCTTATCCATTAGGCCACGCGGCCCTGTGAAAAAAACACTGTACAGCATTTTCCATAAAGCTTGTCTAGGCGCCTGCGTGGTATGCACTCCTGCGCGTGTTCAGAGTGAAGAGTGGCTCTGTCCCCCACCCCACCTCCTCAGGCTCCGTGTGGGCGGGGCTCCGAGCTGGGCTACCCTGAGCCGGAGCGCAGACCACTCCACTCCTCTTCAAAGACATCCCAGCGGTCCGGTCCGTTGTTGCGAACTGGAGAACAGGTCTTGCCTCCCAGGCCCCTCCTGCTGGGAGAGGTCCCTTCGGATCTCTTTCCCCACGTGCTCCGTGCTCCGGTGCTCCCAGCTGGCGGTGAGCTGGGAGCTGCCCACTGCTCCCCTCGCCACTGTGCTTTTCCCATCACAGCACCGCTAAACCTGCAATGCTTTGTTCCAGTCCTGTCCTGTGGCCCCAGTCTGGACTCTGACGGTCGTGAAGGCAGAGGCCAAGTCTCCTGTTTTTCCACGACTCAGTGTGCAGGTGGACTGGGAGATAGATATGTACCCCAAGCTGCCCCTTCCCAGGACATCCAGCCCAGCCTAGCCCACGTTCCATGTTGAGTTCCTTAGTCTCCAATGCTGCACATACACCCCCCCCCCCCCCCCCCCGTCCCCCGCCCGCCCGCAGGCCCAGTATCTGGTTCCCAGGGACACAAATGTGCCCTCAGGAAGCACCAGGCACTTTGCATATATCATCTCATTTACTGTCCCCCCACCCTGAGAGCAGGCACCATTCACACGTGCAGTGATCAGCAGATGTTTATTGCCCGCCTTCTGAGCCCAGCGCCCTGCTGTGATGTCCCATTTATAGGTGAGGTAACTGAGAAGTGGATAGAGTCAGTGGTGGCACTGGGGTGTGGCCACCGGGTGGCTGCAGGCAAAGTCAGGCCTGTAGGCAGAGCCGGCGCCTCAGGGAGCTGCAGATCTCCAGGCAGGCTTTGCGGCGCTCATCGCAGTCAGGACCCAGCACATCCAGCTCACACACCTGACGATTGACCTGCGAGGACCACACTCACCCTGTGCCCAGGTCCCCTGGTGCCTGGCCTGGCACCCAATTTCAAGTGCTGCCTTGATGTCTTTGCGCCTCATAGGGCCCCAAAGGACTAGCCATGAGCCCCCCCCCCACCCCCGCAGTTGTCAGATATGTCCCCCACCCAGCAGAAAAGGCTCCCAGCCTCTATCTGAGGGGCTTCAGTTCCCTGCCAACCAGCAAAACTATTCAAACAAGTCAATCATCTCCTCCTGCAGGAAACAGGGGGTGCACCACCCCTGTTACTACAAAGGCTGCAGCCCACAGTCCCAGCTGGTTCACTGTTCCTCAGTGCGACTCCAAGTGGCCCTGCCTGGTGTGCAGTGTCCTCTGCCCAGGCTGTGAGTACCTGACTAAACTGCTGTGGGTGGCATGTGTTCAGCCATCCCATACTATTGACGGTAAGGGATCCCTCCCTCACCGACAGGGTGTATAGGAGGTGATCTGAACACCAGGGCTGAGGAATATCTATCCTCTCCCCCCTGGTGCCTACTCCCATTCCCCAACACACCTCAGTCAGTAGCTCCAGAAGGTCTCCCCCAGGGGCAGCTCTGAGGACCTCCACCAGCGTCTGGATAAAGTCTGAGCCCTTTTCATCCCGATAGGCTACACAGCCTAGGCCAGAGGATCAGAGCCAGAGCGTCAGGCTCAGGCTGACCAGCTGCCTTCCAGTCCCCAGGGGCCTAATGATGGTGGAAGTGGGGGCAAGTAGACAGGACCCTGGAGAGTCGGCCAAGTGAATGGGGCAGGGAGTGGGAACTTCATGTTTCCTAAACAAGTTGTTGCTCGATATTTACGGAGTGAATGGATTCAATATTGAACAAACTTTCACTGTGAACATCCTATGTGCTAGGCACTGGGCAGGGCCCTGAGCCAAGCAGAACTGCCCTGCCCTCATGCAACCTACAGCCTGGAGGGAATGGTGCAGGTACAGTGCTTGGCATAGTCAGCCCGCAATGCATGCGCACCAGCATTACCATTACTGTAAATAATAAACATGAAAGGAAAATGGCCTAATTGCAACCAGAGGGTTGTCCCTGTGCCACAAATGCCAAGCCCCAGCTGCCACTAAAGCCACTCCAGTCCTCCAGCCAGGGGCCTGGGCCCTGTGTAATGGGGCTTCTTGATGACCCATCCCCTTACCCTCGGCGGCTGCATAGACCACTAGGATGTCTGCTTGGTCGCAGCTCCCTGGAGTGAAGCCCCTGGAGGAGCTGCCTGCAAGAGGGATCAGTTCCATTTACCCAGCATCCTGGGACTCCATTAGCCCCAGAGTCTCCTTGAGTCTGGCTCAAAGGCAGCAGGAGGCAGTGGAAAGAATGCAGAGCAGGAAAGTCAGATCAAAGTTCAAATCTCAACCCTGCCACTTACCAGCTGTAAGACCTCAGAAAAGCTATTTCACAATCCTGACTCCAGGGTTGTTTCGAGGCTCAAGTAGGGGAGAAACCCTTGTAGTTTCAGATGGTTTTTCTTCCCATTCTCTTGGCAAAGAGAGGACAGGGGTGGCAGCAGGACCCCAGCTCAGAGCCCTGGGAATGTGCCCTGGACAGACAGCTCCCCGCACCAGCCCTGCCCAAGCCCAGGCTCCAAAAGGAAGGCAGACCCACCTTGGGCATCCGCATAGATCTGGAGGACATCGGCATGGGAGGGGATGACTGATGGTGCCCGCAGCCAGCGCCAGAACCAGGAGAGAGCTGTGGGCCCCAAGCCGGCATCCCTGTGTCCTGGGGAAGGAGGAGACAGGTAGATCCTTTCATTCAGCAAAGACCTGGAAGTGCCTCCAGGGGTCCAGCTCCCAACCCCCAGAACTCCAGGGCAGGATTGCCAGGCTGGAAACATTCAGAGCACCCAGTGAAGACTGCTGAGGGTAAAGTGCTCAAGTTCATGGACTTGACCTCTAGGAGACTCTGGGAGAAGGGGCAGGAAAAGGGCTAGTGCTCAGGTTTCCTGGAGGTCGGCTGGGTGAGAAATCTAGCACAGGAGGAGCCAGGCTGGAGGCCAGGACTCCACTCACCTCCACGGCAAGCCTGAAGCAAGAAAATCTTGGGACAGCCCCGCAGGGCCTGGCAGTGGCTCAGCTCCTGCACCAATGCCTCTGGCTGCACTGCTTGCCCATCAGCCCCCAGCAGCTGTCCCTGCAGGTCCCCATGAGCCATCAGGGCCACAAGAGCACAGCTCACAGGGCTTCTGCACCTGTTCAGACACTCCTGGAACTGGGCCAGCTCCTCCTGGAAACCCTGGAGTAGGAAGGAGACTGAGGCCTGGGCCAGGGCCACTGCCTCCCCCGGTACCCGGAAGCCCTCCAGGTAGGCTTCTCCAGCCCCTCCACCCTATCTCCCACCTCCTGCCAGCTTCGGCATCAGCAAGGCAATCCTAACCCCTGCTGCGGGCTTGGCATGGCCTCACTGGAGGTGACATGTGGTTGGTTCTGCAGCTGGTTATCTGGCACCACAAAGTTAAAAGGCATGAGGGGAGGCAGTGCGCTGATGGCTTTCTGGGAAGAAACACAAGACCCTTCCAGGAAAAACCCAAGGGTCCAACTGGGGCCTTGAGCAGGAGAGCAGAGAAAGAGCCAGCCTGAGAAGTCACAGGAGCCATGGAGACTGGGTTTCCAGAGGCAGGGAAGTGGATTCCCAATGCATGCAGCAGGGAGGGTGGAGGCTAGACTTGGGGCTGCCCTTCCTGCCCACCATGGGTGAGAGGCCCAGGAGAGAGTCCCGAGTCGTGTGTGTGTGGGGTGCCTTTCTTTAGAACACCACCAGAAGTATTGGGCTTCCCCTCACCTGAGCTGTAGGGTCTGTCCTCAGGGTGGTCTTGAAGCCCAGGGCCTGGCACAAGCTCCCCAATGCCTCCACATCATGCTGGGCCCCAGGCCGGTCCTGGGTCACAGCTAGGAAGAGGGCGGCCCTGTCTCTAGACAGGTCATACTGAGCGCTGGGGCTGGGTTCTGGCTACAAACAAGTTAAGGTGCATTGAAAGTAGTCTAAAGACCTTCCAGCCCTTGGCTCCCCCACCTTGGGTCTCCCTGAGCCTCTGTCCCACTTGCCACATGGCCACATGGTTGGACACTCCTCTTGCCCCCTTACCTCAGGCCCCCAGGGCTCCACGTCACCCAGGCACAGTGCCCCCCGCAAGGAGCTCCGAAGAACTGGGCAGTAGGTAGTTCCTGAGGACTCTTCAGCTGTCCTGCAGAAGACCTGGGAGGATGGGGCCATAGGACCCTCAGGGGGCTGTTTCATGGGAGCATGGTGGGAAGAGAACCAGGACCCTGACTCCAAGGAATTACTTGACCAGACTCTAGCTACTACAGTCTCTTTGGGGTCCCCTGACAGTTGGAGGGAAGAAGAGACAAATGAAAGAGGGGGTGGGTACAAGGGGGGTTCTATTTCAGGATCAAGGTCGTAGGTTTCCCTGGACACGGATTATAGTAGCCATACTATTAACCACCACCTTTCAGGGGAAGGCACCAGGCTGGGGAGAGCCATGGAGCAGAGCTGGGGTCCACCCGTCACCTGTAGGATCACCCAGTGCCACCCAGCCATCCACTGAGACCTTTAGGTTTAGGAATGAGACCTCAATCATTCCCAATCCTATTCTCCAGGGACCTGTAGTCTGATGGAAGAGTCACTACCTCCAGGTATGAGTGTGAACCAGGGTGAGCAGAAGTATAAGCGTTGACTCGGGGAGGAAGGATAACACTGACACCCTGAGACTGTATGAGATTGACTGGGACAACAGGGAGGGCATGGCAAGCAGAGGGAGCAGCTGGGGCAAAGGCATGCAGATGTCAGAGTGTCTGGGGGATCCTGAGTGGGTGTGAGGAGGGGCATGGATGGGGGTGTCAAAGGTGAGGCTGCAAGGCTAACACCACATATGCAGACAATGAACTGTAGGACAGTATTGTGGAATGGATGGGTGGGAAGCATGTGAATGAATCTGTGTAACAGGCTCAGGGGAGGCGACTGGCATAGTTCCCTCCCTGGGACTCTCCATCTGGGGTCCCCACCTCCGTCAGCAGCTGCAGCAGGGACCAGTGAGGACAGCGACCACAGAGTTCACCCAGGCCAGTGAGAAAGGCTCCAGGCTTGGGGGCAGCTGGGTAGAAAAGTACAGCATTGGCCTGAAGGGAGAGTCTCAGCCTCATACCCACCCCACCCCTGATCTGCCCTGCCCCACAATGGCAGTCCCTGCCCAGCCACTCACCCCCAGGAGCACTTGAGAGCAGCAGAAAGACTTTGGGGCAGCCCCGCAGGGCCTCACAGCCACTTAGCTCCTGGATCAACTTCTGTGGCTGCCTCAGCTGCCCGCTGGGGGCCACCAAGGCCACCAGGACACAGCCCATAGGGGCCCTGTGAGCATCCAGCTGTTCCCGGAACCCAGTCAGTTCCTCGAGGAAGTCCTAGGGCAAGAGTGGAGAGCAGGCCTGGGTCTGGGGAGGCCCCAGCTGGGGCTGAGGGTGGAGGCAATAGGCAGGCTAGGGCTCACCTGGACTGAGGCCTTCCTCCTCCAGCAGCTCTCAAAGCCCAGGGTCTGGAACACACCCTCCAAGATAGCCACTGCAGAGGCTGATACCTCAGGGCTGCTGAGTGTCAGGGCTACCCTTGGGCCCTGCACATTGTACTTCCCCTGGGGAAGCAAGACCAGAGTTTGGCTGGGTGGGGCTCAGCTGGGAGCCAGGAGTGAGTTGGGCCAGGCATGCCTCCCACTACCTTTCTTTCCAGGCTCTCTTGAGCATCTGCCATCTGCGCAGCCATCCTCAGAGTCCCAGACACCAGGAAGGCCATGGGTGCCAGGTGGGCACTTCCTCTGAGCAGAGCTCACCTCCTGGCCCCAGCACCAATTCCTTGGGTCCCACTCCTTGTCCTCTCCCTACTCTTCGACCTATCAGCTGTTTATGAGCTGAGCTGGACTCTGTCCCCACCTCCCTCGGAAACTTGGGTCCTGGGCCCCACTCCTTGCTTTGCTCCTTTGGTGGCAGACTTCCTGGCTGGCACTGACATGCCAGGAGCCTGTGCCCAGTCCTATTCTTAGCTCCTAGGAGGCCTCTTATCTGATCTCGTTACACCCGAGTGTCTCCCTTCTGAGCCAGCCATCAGGATCAGAAGTTTGTGCACCCAGCCAGTGTGGCTCAGTGGATTTTCATCCCATGGACTGAAAGATCTGGGTTCAAGTCTCAGTCAGGGCACATGCCCAGGTTTCAGGCTTGATCCTCAGTAGGGGGGTATGCAGGAGTCAGATGATCAATGTTTCTCTCTCATGTCAATGCTTCTCTCCTTTCTCTCTAAAAAAATTAAAAACTTTTTTTAAACCTTCACCTGAGGACATTTTTGCATTTATCCTGAGATAGAACAGGAGAAAGGGAGGAAAAGAAAGAGACACATTGATGTGAGAGAGACATACCAACTGGTTGCCACCCACACAACCCCAACCAGGGTCGGGGACAAACTGCAACCAAGGTATGTGCCCTCAGCAGGAACCGAACCCAGGACTGTTTGTGCACTGCTCCTGCCACTTGTCACCCCTACTCACTCATGCAAGGTGCCTACATACATGCACACAGCAGCCTCAAGCACTGAAGCACAGGAAGTGAAGGGCACTGTCCCAGAGGTAGAACCCCCGACTGGAGTCAGCTGTTCAGTGAGACCCCAGTTGCTTCATCTGGGAATTGGGGTCTATTCCAGCAACCTCAGGGGGAAGCAAGTGTTAAATGAGACTGGTTGAGGAAAGGCCCAGGGGGCAGAGAAGCTGGCACACAGACCGGGGAACAGAACATCTTGTCTCAGCCAGCCTCTCCACTCCTCAGGTGAGCCTGCTGAGGCCACCACCTGGTGAACTGGGAAGGGCACAGCAGGAGTGGAAGGAGCTGACATGAGCCTGGGCGTGGGAGTGGTCAGATATAAAGGGCTACTTGGGAATAGGACAAGGTCCACTTTCATTCAGCAGCCCTCTTTCCCCAATGGAGTTGAACACAGGAATGAGCACGAGCACACGTTACCATCCTAACCAGTGACCTCATCTCCGAGCCTATTTCATTTCCCTAGTGGGGAGGGAGAGAGTGGCCTGGTGAAGAACCCAAGTCCTGTTCAGCTGGAATAGGAAAGGGTGCTACCAGCTGTCTCATCCTGAGCTGTCCCCAGACCAGGACAGGCACTGACAGGAGGTTCAGTCTCAAGGCTTATGGTTGCCCTTTGGGACCCAGCTCACTTGGAAGCCAAGAATGTGGCTCCACCTGGTAACCACACAGCACCATAGTTGTGAACAGGACTACCAGGTCAGGAGACCAAGGGGTACGAAGTCTAGGTTCCCCACCCAACAGCCACCTAAAGAACAGAACAGCCTGAAGGAAGTTTCCACATTTATTCAAACCCTTTTGCTGTCCTTTTGAGGCAGGCTGGGCCAGCCTCCTTTGGAGAGCCTGTGGTGTGTCCCTGTTAATGCCAATCTGCAGCCGATGCAGACATGAAATGCAGTGCCTAAGGAGTCAGTGACAAAGTGCTAACAGAGTACTAATGTTAATTACCATGAACCCCATGTCTCTGGAGGGGAGCGTGGGAGCAGTGGGTTTCCACTAGCCCTGTTTTTGGTCTGCACAGACCTCCAAACCCTGGAGCCACCACTAGCCTCAGCAGAGGATGGCTCTCAAGGAGGAAGTCAGTGAAAATCGGTGGCGGACAACTTCTGTGTCACCAAGATAGGGCAGAGTGGTCATGGCCTAGAAGTGGGAGTGGGTGGAGGCCAGAAAGCCCTTTTGGCCCTACCCAGGACCTAGAACTTCACAGGTGTGGGCTAACTGTCCCTCCTAGAGCCTGTCAGCACCCTGGTGGTCAAAGCCTGTCTTCCACCCCTTTGGGAAGGCACAGGTTGGCAGGGCAGAGGGCCTGACCCATGGACCCAGCCAAGACTGGGAAACAAAGAGCCACCAGGCAAGCAAGGCCGAGGGGAATTTCTTGGATGGGGTACCCGGGACCCTGCCGGAGTCCTCACACTTCCCTGCTGCTTCAGCCTTTCTCCCATGCTAAGGACACCTGCCAGGAATGTGCTGGGGCCCCAGGAAGCCAGAGCCAAGAGAAACCCCTCAGAGCAGGAATAATGGCCAGGAGGTCATAGGGGATGATATCCATTACTTGAGTGTTGACCAGGTCCTGGGGCAGAGCAGGGCAGGCAGTAGGGGTGGTGGCTGCAGAAGGTGAAGCAGAGGCAGGTGGCCATCCTGCTGCTCTGGCTCCTGGAAGATCCCTCAGCCCCACCCCACCCCTCACCCCACAGGCTGGGCCATCTTGGCATGCAGGCTCTGGTGAGCGATGAGGTGGGCGCGCTGCTTGAAGCTCTTGTCGCACTCGCCGCAGCCGAATGGACGCTCGCCAGTGTGCACGCGCCGGTGGTCCAGCAGGTAGGAGCGCAGGGAGAAGCTCTTACCGCAGTCACTGCAGCCGAAGGGCTTCTCACCTGTGTGGATGCGCTGGTGGTCAGCCAGATAGGCGCTGCGGCTGAAGCTCTTGCCGCACTCGGAGCAGGAAAAGGGCTTCTGGCCCGTGTGCACGCCCTGGTGGCGCACCAGGTCCGACGAGCTGCGGAAGCTCTTTTCGCACTCCTGGCACTTGTGGGGTTTCTCGCCTGTGTGCGTGCGCTGGTGGCGCGCCAGGTCTGAGCCCCAGCGGAAGCGCTTGCCGCACTGGCCACAGCTGTGTGGCTTCTCTGCTGCCAGGTCCCGGAGCTGGCGCCTGTGCGTGGGTGGCCGCCCCCGCCTTGCCCCCACCGCTGGATCCAAGGGTGCCCCAGGCACGGCCTCGCTCTCCCAGGGCTCGGCCTCCTCAGGGCTCCAGACCACAGTCACATCGTTGCCCTCCTGGCCCGGGAGCACTCTCATCGCCTCCTCCAGTCGGGATCGCCCTGTTTGGTTCTTGAGCCCCAAACCTGCAAGCGGAGAGGAGGTGGGCTCTTCAGTCCCACCTAGTCTGGGCTCAGAGCTGAGGCAAGGCAGAAACAGGGCTCAGTGGCAAGCGCCTTGGCTGTCAGGTTCAGAAAGCCCTGGGCTGGACAGACCTGAGCCTGTTTCCTTGTCCATAAAATAAGGACCTGATAAAAGGCCGGCAGAGAAACAGTGCAGAGGCAGAAGCAGAGGCAAAGGCAAGAAGTCCACTGATCCTGCCCCAGAGGCACTTATTAATTATACCCCTAACCAATCTATGCCTCCCTTCCACACTGGGATCCAACACCCCATTCTCTGAACCCTGGCTATTCAAACTCCAAAACTGAATAGATTACGGTAAAGTTTGTAAATGATCCAAACTCTCACTATTCATTATCAGAAACAGGAACCATCCTCTCACTACACAAGCTCTTGTCTTCTTAATTCAAGAACAGAGTTGGATTCAAAGGGATCCTAGCCCACCCCATCAGGTCGTGTGGATTAAATGAGATGATCCCCAAACAGTGCTCAGAAAGGCCCTGGCTTGGAGAGGGTCCCAGGAATGTGGCCTCTAATGCACAAGGCCCAGGCCTTGGAGCACAACATGTGTTTTCACTGTCAGCACCTCTTCACAGGGCAGCCTGAAGGGCCTTGCGACCACTGTTTGGACTGAGTCCCAGCTCTGTCCCTTTGATGTCCACTGACCTAAGTCTCAGGTCCCTTGTCTGTAAGACGAGGACAATATTTTTATGCACCAGGCTGTGAGAATCACATGAGAAAATGCCCATATGAGTGCTCAGCACAGTGCTAGCATATTGCAAGCACCCATCACGTATTAATGCATGTTCAAAGGCAGAGGAAAATGAACATTAACACAAAAAAGGAAATCAGCCAAGTCTCTTGAAGAGCCAGGGAAAGCCCACTTTGGAGCCAGCCGAGAGGGAGTGCGGAGGAAGACTGAGGATTCCAGCAGGATATGCAGGGGAGTGTGGCTGCCTGGGCGCTCTCTCTGCTGCTGGGAACCTCAAAGAGGCTGCTGCCTCAAGCTCAGAGGAACCAAGGACCCCAAGGGTCCTGGCTGCAACTGTTGCTTACCCAGGGCAACGTTCCGGGAGTTTTCCCGCTTTATGTCCCAGAAAAGATCCCGCTGAGCAGGGTCCAGGGACCCCCATTCTTCCTGGGAGAAATAGAAGGGAATGTCTCCAAATGTCACAGGTCCCTGAAATGAGGTGAGAAACCCTGCTCAGGACTCCCCAGGCAGCTGTGGGTGGGGAGAAGCAGAGGGGTGGGATGGGGAACAGGATGGGCCCAGGCAGGAGCAGGATGGATGGAAGAGGCTTTGAGAAGGCAAGGCCCATTTTAGAGACTCATCAGCACTGATGGCCTCAAGGGGACAAAGGGACTGGTAACTCACATGGATCTCAGAGGCAAAGCAGACATTCTTTTTCTGTTTGATACTCCTTTCTTTAAGAAGAGCAGGGAGCTGGGCTGAAAGAAAAGAACAAAGCCTCAGAGAGGCTAGCTTAAGCTAGGAATGAAACCCTACACACTCTCCTGTGAACGTGCATGCATACATGCTTAAGCTTCATAAAACAAGTACCCTTCCTGCTACCCTTATGCCCAGGAAAAAGTTTACTCACCACCATGGCTGTGCTGCTCCCAGGGTACAAGTGGCTGGTTTTGTGCACTCGCCTTCGGGGGAAGTCCCATGGCCTGGGATCCCTGGACTGTAGCCTCAGGTTCCACCTCCTCTGAGGGCACATCCTGTGCAGGAACCACAATATGCTCATCAGCACCGAGACCAGATGGGGAAGACAGAGTTTAATCCCTGGGAAGAAGACAAAGGACAAATCCCTCAGGAGGCTAGGTTTTAGGGAGAGATCAACAGAGGGCCCCAGGAAAGTTCAAAGGAGAATGTGATACCAGGCAGAGCCATGTGCGCAGGGACACTCCCTGATCAAGCACAAGGCAAGAACCAGCCCCCTAAGGATAGAATCACAGAGCCATTTAGCAAGGAGGAGTGGGGGGAGAACTTCCTGTGAAGGGCAGAAACCCATACCCCAGCCACTCGGCACCTCCCCAGATGCTTCCAGTGTCAAAGACCCAATACCCCACAAGACAGCAGGGCTCATATGCACAGCTCTACCTTCTCATGCCCTCTCTGGTGTTCTTACTACTCACATCACTGTATCCCCAGTGCCTGGCCTAAAGCAGAACACGAATAAACATTTGCAGGGCCTGTGTGGAGCTAAAATCTGCCTTCCTGGAACATGCCCACTTTAGTTCTGCTTTGCCCATCAAAGCCACCAAAAAGAAACCAGATTAATTTGGACAGTGTCTTTCAGACAGGCAATACCTGTTATAACATGTAGATGTTTCCTCTGGCTCTGTATCCCTACCAATCCTGGAAAACTCATCTCCCAGGTGCCAAACAGATGCCCCTGAATGTGGAAGGGGCCCCTCACCTGCGGCCATGTTTTCACTGGCTGCTTCTGCAGGTCCTCCACCAAGGCAACGGCTTCCTCACCACTCCCTGGACACCGCTCTCGCACCCAGTCCTGGACACCTCCAGGCAGCACACTCAGGAACTGCTCCAGCACCAGTAGCTCCAAGATTTGCTCCTTGGTACGTAGTTCAGGTCGCAGCCAGCGGCAGCAGAGCTCCCATAACTGGCTGAAGGCTTCATGGGGCCCACCCACGTCCCTATAGCAGAACTGCCGAAAGCGCTGGCGGCAGGCCTCAGAATCCCTGCTGTCCTCTTGCTGGGCAGAGTCCTGATCCCAAGAAGAATCTTCCACCTTCACAATTAGAAGCCCTTCTCCCTCCCCAGGGGCCTGGTCCTGAGACTCCAGGGGGGCTGCCATTCCCCTGGCCTAAGGCTCAAGGTTGGTGGGCCTCAAGCCAAGAGCCTGACTTTGTCTCCCAAAGGGATTCCCTGTGGCTGCTGGGCCAACATCTGGACACAAACTCCTAGGGAAAGAGCAAAATAGCAGAAGTGGGAAGGTACATGAGCAAACACCAGCCTGGAGAGACATCGAGGGACTTTAGCTGCCATCCTTTCCTGGCTGAGGCCTTTTTTAGGCTCTCCTATAATACTTTGCTCATATGACTCTCTCTTCTACCAATACAGGTCCACAGTCCCTTATCCTCAGCTCTGAGATCCAAAACTCCCAGGTGTTTACCATCTGGCTTGCTGATATGAGCATGTCTGTAATCCCCATTTATTCCATGTAATGTAAATGTCCATATATCTTATAGCAGAAATATTAATGTATTTATTCAGTTTGTAAAAATTCATCAAGCTGTCCTTACCATGTGTAATTCTGTATGTGTTTTATACTTCAATAAAAAAATAACACACTTGCCCTGGCTGGTTTGGCTCAGCAGTTAGAGCATCGGCCCATGGACCAATGAGTCGTGGGTTCAATTCCGGTCAAGGGCACATACCTTGGTTGTGGTTTGTCCCTGGCCCCAGTCAGGTCATGCAGGAGGCAACCAGTTGATGTGGCTCTATCACATTGATGTTTCTCTCTGTCTCTTTCTCTCTCACCTTCCCTCTCACTCTAGCTAATGATAAGTAGAAAAATATTCTCGGGTGAGAAATGAAAAAAAAGAAAGAAAAAAATTAACACACTTGATTATACTGATTGTTGCCCTAGATTCTGCTGCCAGGGGTTACTTGCTATACCATGTGTACTGTATTATCTTTCTCAAATTTAAAAACTTCTGAATTCCAAAACACATCTAGCCCAGCGGTGTCAGCGATGGGCTCACAGACATCATCCTAAGTCATTTATCCACAGGTAAATATGACTGTATGATACATATTCATTATACCTTGCATTACCACCCTTCGCAAAGGTCCTGAAAAGCGTAATTTTGGAAGTTTGGTTTTTTGTTTCGATAAAGAAGTGACAACAAACATTGTAATAAAAGGGGGGACATAATATAGAAATACATAAAAGAGAAACTCTCCATTCCACAATGCGGTGCACCCTCGCATTAACAGTCTGATATATGACCTCTCAGACCTTTACATGTGCATTTACTAAAAATGTACCTACAGAAATGAAAAACAGTGTTTTGTGTGTTTTCACATAAATGAGGTCTTTTTTTGGAGGGGGGGGTACGTGCCCCTACTGGGCACCGAACCCGGGACTCTCTGGTCCACAGGCCAATGCTCCAACAGATGAGCCAAACTGTCCAGGGCTATAAATGAGGTCTTAATGCACAAACTATTTTGTAATATGCTTTTCCACCTAACCATGCTTCTTCATTAGCTGTTCTGGAAGATTTAGAGGTATGGTTGTACTCCAGTTTCTGAACCAATACCCAAGTGAAGCATTCTGGTTGTTTCCAGTCCTTTTCTCTACTACATTAAGCACTTGAGTCTTTTTTTTTTTAAATTGATTTGAGAGACAGAGGGGTAAGGGGGAGAGAAAGAGGGAGGGAGAGGGAGAGATAAAGAAACAGTGATTTGTTGTTCCACTCATTTATGCACTCATTGGTTGCTTCTTGTATGTGCCCTGAACTGGGATCCAACCACAATCTTGGCCTTTCTGGACCATAGGCTCTAATCAACTGAGCAACCCGGCCAGGGCAAGCACTTTATTACTGTACTTCTCACACCACCCCTAAAAGGTACTGCGCCCCATTCTCAACCTCTAGTGACGGAGGAGGAGGTTTCGCTGGGAGAGGACCAAGGACTCACCTGGGTCGCCCGGCAGGACGCAGCAAGCGGGAACACGGACCCGGCTGGAGTCCCGTGGTCGACCACTAGCAGCCTCGCCTGCGAGGAGCTGAGAGGCGGCGTCGCGGGCAGCGGGTGCAGGGGTCGGGGTTATCCCCGCCACTTTTCAGCGGTGCACGCCCCCTTCGGCCTCTGCCTGGGGTGCGGGCCCATCTGCCCGGAGCCCCGCGTTCGACCTCGGAGTCCGGCTGCCCGTGTCGCGGGTCCCGCCCCCGGGGCGCACAGCACCCCAGACGCCCAGGAGTTCCCAGTTCCGCCGCTGGATCTCGGCACCGGAAGCCCGCGCGAAGCTCGCCGGGAAACGACACAAAGCGCACGCCTACCTAACTACACGGAACTGCATCTCCCAGAAGGCCGTTGGCTCACAGAGCCTGGTTTGGCGTTGACGGATGGCCAATGAACAGGGAGAATTACTGTGCACAGCGACACCCATGCCCGGGGCTTATGTGTGGTCTGTTTCTACACTCGCGCTGGTCTCTCTCTCGGCTATTCCTTCAGATTTCTCTACTCCTCTCCCTGAGCTTCCCGGGAAGTGCAGTCTAGTTGGGGGAGAGGGGCGGAGCCTCCGGCGGCTAGTCTCGGTCCCAGAGCGTCGGCTACGGTCGCTCAGCAGGACTCCGCAGTCGGGGACTCAATCCTGGGAGCCCCGCGCTCTTCCACCAGCAACTTCGTCTCTGGAGCGGCGGGGCCAGAGAGAATCGAGAGCAGGTGGGCGGTATCCGGGAACCTCTGGGTTCTCCTTTCTACAAATTGGGACCTCCTCCCACCCTCTCTACTTCGACCTGCAGATCTGAGGCTCCGCATCTTCTTAAATAGAAAAGGCTTTCTTGTTTGATTATGCAAGCATTGCATGCTTAGTGTGGAAAAGAAAATTAACAAAATATGGAAAATTATAAAGATATCAATATCCACAAGGCTAGCTCCCTCTGTTCACATGTCACTCCCTCAAAATGACTTTCCCTGACTGTAAATAGCACATACACACACCCGCCATGGCTCTGCCCTGCCTTATTTTTCTTTCTTTTTTTTTAATCCTCACCCGGGGACATTTTTCCATTTCGTTAAGATAGAGTGGGGGGGGGGGGAGAGAGAAAGAAACATGGACGTGAAAGGGACATATCGGGTGGCTACCTCCCGCACAACCCCAACCACAACCCCAACCGGGGCCTGGGACAAACTGCAACCGAGGTATGTGCCCTTAGCGGGAACCAAACCCGGGTCTCTTTGGACCGCGGGCCAACGCTCTAACTGCTGAGCCAAACCGGCCAGGGCCTGCCTTATTTTTCTATCTAACTTTTATCAGTACCTGACATTTGTGTAATATTTGTCTCTTACTACTCGACTATGAGCTCAAAGAGGTCACACTGTTTTCATTGCCCTACTCCTAGCACCCAGAATTGTTTCTGGCACAGTATTTGTTGAATAACTGAAGGTTTAAAATATTCCTTATAAGGCCATTTAGGAATAAGCACTATTAATATTTCAGTCTGTTCGTACAGTTCTATTTCTATGAATATTTCTAATGTAAATCTGGAACAATTCGATTCGATCAGGTGGCTCAGTTGGTTGGAGTGTCCTCCCATGCACCAAAAAGGTTGCTGGTTCGTTTCCTGTTAGGGCACATAGCTAGAATGTGGGTTCCATCCCCAGGGTGCGTACAGGAGGTAACCAATGGATGTTTCTCTCTGAAAAAAATTTTTTTTTAATATTTATTTTTTTATCCTCACCCGAGGACTTTTTTGCATTTATCTGCAGATAGAGCAGGAGGGAGAGAGGGGAGAGAGAAACATCGATGTGAGAGAGACACATGGACTGGTTGCCACTCACACAATCTCAACTAGGGCCAGGGACAAACTGCAACTGAGGTATGTGCCCTTAGTGGGAACTGAAACCAGGACTCTCTGGTCCACAGGCTGACACTCTAACCACTGAGCCAAACCAGCCAGGGCTAAAAAAAACTTTTTTTAAATAAAAAACATATACTTGAGTAAGGGTAAATCTGGAATCATTCTATATAAGTAATTTTGTGTCATTTTTTTGTGTTCTACTTTTTATCCAATGTATTGGAGTGACACTGGTTAACAAAATTTACAGGTTTCAGGTGCACAACTCCACAACACAGCATCTGTACACTGCATTGTGTTCACCACTCCAAGTCAAGTTTCCTTCCATCACCATTTATCCCCCCTATACCCTCCCCCCCATCCCCTCCCCCCAAGTAATGTTTTATTGACTCAAGTCTATCAGGCCCTGGCCTGTGTGGCCCAGTGGTTAAAGCGTCGGCTTGCAGATGAAAGTGTTGTGGGTTCAATTCCCAGTCAAGGGCACATACCTGGGTTGCAGGCTTGATTCCTGGCCCCCGTTGGGAGGCAACCAATTGATGTGTCTCTCTTGCATCAGTTTCTCTCTCTCTCTCTCCCCTTCCACTCTCTCTAAAAAAATCAATGGAAAAAATATCCTCAGGTGAGGATTAACAACAACAAAAGGATAATTTTCCATATCAGCATTTATAAATAAAAGAATTCTTCTGTTTTGCAAGCTTTATAGTATTCCATAGCAGGACAGTTCCATATTTTATTTAAAATCCCTTACTCTTGGACATTTAGTTTCCAATTTTCTGTGTTTCTACATACACCTAGATGCATTTGCTTGAGGAACTTGCTGGAGAGCATGAGTCAAGACTATTTTATGAATACTGCTGAAATGGATGCTACTGGGCTCCCCTTCCTCTACTGGGCTCAATGGAAAACCACACCAGGAAGAAAAAATTGGAAGTCCCCTTTTCTAGCCTGGCTGGTGTGGTTCAGTGGTTGAGCATTGACCCATATGCACCAAGAGGTTGCCGGTTTGATTCCTGGGCACATGCCTAGGTTGTGGGCCATATCTCCAGTGGGGGGCATGCAGGAGGCAGCCAATCGATGTTCTCTCTCATCCATGTTTCTCCCTCTCCCTTCCTCTCTCTCTAAAATCAATAAAGAAAAAAAAATTTTTTTAAAGAAAGTCCCCTTTTCGCCCTGGCCAGTTTGGCTCAGCGGTTAGAGCGTTGGCCTGCAGTCCGGAGAGACCCGGGTTCGGTTCCCGCTAAGGGCACGTACTTCGGTTGCAGTTTGTCCCCGGCCCTGGTTGGTCTTGCGGGTGGCAGCCACTCGATGTGTCCCTTCACGTCGATGTTTCTCTCTCTCTCTCCCTCCCACTCTATCTGTACAAAAAATGGAAAAATATCCTCGGGTGAGGATAAAAAAAAATTAAAAAAAATTAAAAAAAAAAAGAAAGTCCCCTTTTCCAGATATGGCCTTATAGTGTTCTTCCCACACCCTCTATTGGCAAAACTAACATCAAATTGTCTAGCAAAGGAGAAATGTTTTACAGGATCCCACTGGCTTCAGTATTACAAAGGACAAAAAGAGTGAATTGGAGACTGAGAGACAAATTAATAACTGGCACACTCACCATATATTTCATTGGTCATTGCTGGTAGATGATAAATTATTTGTATACAAGTATACTGGAATTGACAATCTAATTGCACTTTTTTTTACTTCTGATAGTGTTTTAGTTTATTTTTCTAGCTAGAAAATATAATCTATAATGAAAAAAGTAAAAATTTCTTTCAAAAAATTATATTCATTTCCAGAATTTATATACATTATTTTCTTAGTCTTATAGCATTGTCCAGAACTTCCTAAACTACGTCAGGACAGCAGACATCATTGTCTTGGTTAATGAAAATACTTTTAATGATTTACAATAGTCTATTGTTTGTCTCAAATATATAGCCATGCTCATATTAAGGAGCATCTATTCTCGCCCTGGCCAGTTTGGCTCAGCGGTTAGAGCATCGGCCTGTGGTCCAGAGGCGTGTGCCTTGGTTGCAGTTTGTCCCCAGCCCTGGTTGGGTTGTGCGGGAGGCAGCCGCTCCATGTGTCCCTTTCATGTTGATGTTTCTCTCTGTGTGTTCCTCTCTCTCCCTCCCACTCTATCTGTGAACAAAAAATGGAAAAATGTCCTTGGGTGAGGATTTAAAAAAAAAATCTGTTCTCATTTGTAGCAGAAAGACCATTACCTGTTCCCCAATATGTTTTCCTCTTCTATAGTAAAAATTTTTCAATGGGCACATGGCCATTTAGAATAAAGAGTATATTCTCCCAGGTCCTCCTAAGTATGGCCATGTAATGATATGTGAGCAGCTGTAATGTATGCATTTTATTGGAAAGGAATGGATCATGTCTTCCTAGTCTCTTTTCAACTACTAGTTGGAATTTGGACATGGTAGCATGGACCATGCAGATGAGAGTAACACCAAAAGGTGTCAAAGCAATAAGATGAAAGGCGCCTGGAGCCACCGAACTAGCCCTGGATTACACCCAGGCAGGTGATATGAAAGAGATAGAGATAGCATGTTTAAGCCACTGTTGTTTTAGATCTCTGTTACAACCAGAATGTATACCCTATCTAGCACTATTGCCTACTGAGAGTTCCTTCTTTAAAAAGATAAACAGCCTGGCCAGTGTGGCTCAGTTAGCACAGAATTGTCCCATGCACCAAGAGGTTTCTGGTTCCATTCCTGGTTGGGGCATATGCCCATATAGGGGGTGTGCAGCTGATTGATATTTCTATATCTTTCTTCCTCTCCCTTTCTCTCTCTAAACAATCAGTAAAGGCACTTTTTTTTGTTTTGTTTTTAAAGAGAGAAATAGCCAGGCTGGTGAGGCTCAGTTGGTTGAGCCTCATTCCATGCACCAAGAGGTCACTGGTATTCCATTTCTGGTCAGGACACATGCTTGGGTTGCAGGCTTAATCCCTGGTGAGGGGCCTGCAGGAGGCAGCTGATTGTTTCTTTTTCTTCTTCTGTTTTTTGGTACGTGCCCCTAGCGGGAACCGAACCCGGGACTCTCTGGTTCACAGGCTGACGCTCCAACCACTAAGTCAAACCGGCCAGGGTGGCAGATGATTGTTTCAATCTCACATTGATAATCTCTCTCGCTCCCTTCCTCTTTGTCTCTAAAAATCAATACACTATTTAAAAAACAGAAATAGAAAATAGAAATATTTTCATAATTTCTCCTGTGGGATATTGAATATTCAGAATTTCTATGTCTTGACTTTTTTTTTTTTGGTTAATCCTCACCTGAGGATATTTTTCCATTGACTTTTAGATAGAGTGGAAGCGATAGAGGAGTGAGAGAGAGAGAAACATCAACGTGAGAGAGACATCAATTGGTTGCCTCCCACGTGACCTGACCAGAGCCAGGGTTCGAACCTGCAACCCAGGTATGTGCCCTTGATCAGGAATGGAACCTGAGACCCTCTAACCGCTGAGCCAAACAGGCCAGGGCTAAATGTTTTTTTATTTTTCTTTTGTTTGACTAAATGTTGATAGTTTTTTTCCTAGGAAATCATCCCTTTCATCTACAATTTGACATTAATATAAATTGTACATAGTATTTATTTCCATTTAATTAAAAAATTTAAGGCCCTAGCTAGGTGGCTCAGTTGGTTAGAACATTGTCCAGATACACCAAGGTTGTGGGTTTGATCCCAGGTCAGGGTACATTCAAGAATCAACTAATGAATGTATAAAGAAGTGGGACCAAAAAAATCTATGTTTCTGTTTCTCTCTCTCTCCCTACCTCTAAAATCAATACATTTAAAATTAAAATCAGCATGTATATTTAAATCTTTGGTTTGGGATCCTGAGATAGCACTTTTAATGTTGGTAGAGTAGCGAACAGGCTAGGAGTCTGGGTCTGTTGACTTTGCAGATTAGGGCTCCCATACCATAGGCTGCCTACCTCTGGCCTACCTCTAGACATTATTTTGAGATATATACTTTAGTTTCATTTAAGACCCTGTTACTGTGGGTTTCTGTTATTTGTAGCTGAATTCATTGCTTCATAGGGTTATTATAAGGGCTAAATAAATGAGTGAATACAAGTATAGACCACTTAGTCCAGTATTAACTCTCAGCACACAGTGAAAGAGTGGTTAGTCTCAGGGAATTATCATCACCAGGAACTTGTCATGGGCATGCCCACAGGAGCATAGAGTACAAGAGAGGCTATAGGAGTTAGGCCCTCCAGGTATCTTTTCCACTTTCCCCTGAAGATTTCAGTCCAACTTGTTCTGGTCTGTGGCCTGTTCAATTGTATTAATATTCATAGCTGGCCTGGAGCGTTATTAGTTGAAAACAGAAAAACTGGAGTGCTCTAGGAGGTGTCCGAGTTGCAGGTCAGAGTGCTGCATTTGGAACCCAGGCAGGAAGCCTGCCTGAGGACATGTCACAGGCTGGACCAAGAGCATGAGCACGAGGAAGGTTGGACCATCCTCATAACCTCCTATTCTCCACCATCCAGGGGACAGCAGGGAGAAACCTTAGACCACAGCCCCTCACAAGTCACATCTCTCTAGCTTCTCCTCCCTCCCACCAGAGTTGTCATTTCAGCTCATGAAACACCAGTCTCTTCACAGCAAGGCCTTTATTCATTTTTTTGTTTTCCTAGCTTGTAAAGTTCTGCCCCCCAAATTCTTGTAAAACGGCTTCTTGTCCTTCAAGTCTCAGCTTAAATGTTCCCGCCTTACATGGGCCTTCTCTATCAGTTCCTAGCATACTTCATTTCTGGCATTTGTCACTACTTGAAATTAATGTGTCATTTATCTGCTTACCAGTCTCCCCCACTAGAGCCAACCCCATGAGGGCAAGGATCTTGTCTGGCTTTTTCATCGCTTACTCCTCAACATTTAGCAACGAACCTGGAATGCATTTATTTCGTATTTGAAAAATGAGTAAGTGAATGCAGCAAATATCCTATTTAACGTTCCTCTGCCTCGCACTGGCCTCCTCAGTTTACCCGGCTCCCCCAGAAGACCGCAGTCTCCTTCCAGGCAGTTGCCGCACTCGCGCCCGGCTCTCACTGGCAGCACGGTCAGACCCTGCTCCGGGCTCGGAGGCTGCTAAAATGTCACAGGAGGCGTCCGGACTGGAGCCGGATGCAGAAGTCGGGATTCCCCCAGCGCCGCACACGAGCCGGCCATCTTCAGGGCTAGATGTGGCCTCCGGGTTCAGGTTCCCAGTCTCCGGAGCAGCAGCGAGATTATTGGAGTCGGCGCGCGAAGCCGGAAGTGGCCCTGGCTCTCCGTCCGCATCCTATCTAGGACCACAGGAGGCTCGGCATCTCTGTGGTAGGCCCAGGGCCGGCTCTGAAGGCTTAGGGGCTGGCGACGAAGCCAGGAGCCCAGCCCTGAATCGTTGATTTCTTCTGCAATCGACGCCAGGGTAAGGGAAAAAGGCAAGTTTCAAAATCTAGAGCTTCGCGAGAGTTGCCCCGGCAACCGTGCGGCTTGGGGGCAGCTACGAGAACGTCAGTCGTGATTGGCCGGTTTTTCTGGTGCCCGCCTCTCTCTTCACCTGGGCACTTGATTGGCTAAAATCAGAGGGAGAGGCAGGGCCTTTCGGAACTGGTCCACCGGGATGTGAGAATACTTGGTGAGGCTGGCTCCCTGAGACCTCCCCAAGATTTCCGACCTCGCCGCCTGGCGTGGTCACTCAAGCTCAGGAGGAGCTGTCTCATGCCAGTGCTGTGCTGAGCACGACGCCCCCGCACAGGGAGGGCTGCGCAGCCAGCTGGGCCATGAGCGCTGTCAGCCAGGATCTGGACTGAGTCTATAGCCACACAGAAAGAGGGTGGGAAGCTCAAGGAAAATATTCTCCCTTGCTCTCGCCCTCTTCCTGAAGGCGCAGGTGCAGGTCAGTCTTGAGTAACTAGGTCGAGTTCTGCAGTGCCCTGAAGCTGGTATGTCCAGTGTGAGAAGCAATGAGGAAGCAGGCCACACCTCAACCGCTACCCAGAGATACCAAGACCCTGGTGTCACCACACCCCCAGCCTGCTACCTCTCAGTGGTGCTCCATAACTCACCAAATCAGGAATACCCTCCACCCTGACATTCCAGGCCCTTCCACGATGCCCCAGCTACCTCCTCAGTCTTAGCTGCTCTTGTCAAATATTTTCAAACTGCCAAGTTCCACTCTTAAAAGCTCTCGCCTGATCTGTGCCAGAATGATGAACTGTGGATGGACATCTTGGAAGGAATGGACAGAGACCCATAGAATCACATCCCTCTGCACTGTGCTATGAAAAGGGAAACAGTTTCTCTTGGATACTGTGGTCTCTGGACTCCTCAAAAGCCAAAGTGAAGACTTTAAATGACTCCTTGGCTTACTCGGTAGACCTCTGAGTGTTTCAAGTCCTGACACACTGGCCATGCAGCCCAAGGAAACAAAGAGCCACTGTGCAAATGAATATTCTGTGCTAAGGTTGTGCCAAATGATGACAGCTGTCGTTTTAAGTCTCCTTCCTACCTCTCTCTCTCTCATTCATTAGAAAACAAGCTCCTGGGGGCAGCAAGCCTGCTTTATGTGTATAAGCCCTATCAGCCTCTCACACCGAGCCAAGCAGAGGAATCTCATTTCTAGCTATGACTGGAGCCATGAAGACAAGCTGAAGGGAGGAAACTGCTTTTTTTCTCACCAGTCCTGACAGCAACTTAACCCTAGACCCCACTGAGACCTCCTAGTCTTGCCTGAGCTTCCACTAGTAAGCAGCTTCCTGGCATCCCAATGATTATATGTTTCTCCCTCCCCCTATCTCCAGCTGAGTCCAGCACTCCAGAAGGTCAAGTCTATTGTCTGTATTACTCTTTTTAGACAGCTCTGTCTCATAATATCATGGGTTAATTAGATAGTCAATAGCTGTTGTGGTACATGGAAATAGGGGTATTCTTTACATAGTAAAATCCCTGGCCCTAAACCCCAGCTTCCAACTCTCTGACTGTATGGCTTTGGGAAAGTTAATGGACTTCTCTCCTAGCCTGTTTTTTCATCTATAAAACTGGGATAAAACCTGCTCAGCTTGTGGAGAGTGGAGGTGACATATATATGGTGCTTGGCCCCATGCTTGGCAGGACAGCTACTCGACAACTGGCAGCTATGATTACTATTCCCAGTCTGTCATCCTCTTCAAGCCACTTCCTCCCTTAGGAGCTGGGAGCCAACCAGGGCTGCAGCCACCCTGCTGGCTCCATGATCCACAGAGACAGGTGGAGTCTCGATGGCTTCCCTGTTATAGGCATCAAGGTCAGAACTGCATGTTATCTTGGAAGCTAAGCTGCAAATCTTGGATAATAAGCAGGCTGAGCCCACCCCTCACAGGGAAAATAGTAGAGAATGGAAAACAGAAACTACAGAAGTAAAATACCAAGAGGTCAGGAGTAAAACCACCAGGCATGGGTGAGTAGAGCAAATTATAAAGGACATGTGTGAAGAGGACAAGGAGGGAAAAAGTAGGATCTTGCAGCAGCCTCAGAAGGGACCAGGAGGGACAGTAGTCCCTGGTAAGTGAGGTAATCACACTGAATTATCACTGGACCCCAGTGGAAGCAGATGGAAAATATCCAGCCAAAAAACTCAGCCCTGGTACCTACAACAGGAGACAAGGCAGGCAGGAGACAATGAGTTCCCAAGCTAGCCCTGAGCTGCTCCTGGCTCTCAAAGAGCCAAGGAAGTTTCCAGGGCTCAGTGATCAATGCCCCTGGCATTAGAGTGACAGCAGCAGCAAAACACCCACCAGGGGGTTCACAATTCCACTAGTGGCTGGTTGGTTTCAAGTCCAAAAACCTCTGTGCTAAGAAGCCTTTGTATGGAAACTTGTGGTCCTAATCATCTGGATTGGGCCCCAAGCCAGGTCAAGGTTGGGAAAGAGGGTGCCCAAGCCCTGAGAGCGATGACTTGGATGCCTTAGTGAGGATACATTGTTGACACAAGAGCCCCCAGAATCTGAGGTCAGCTACCAGCAACCCCCACTGCCCCAATAACCCCTATCCCCTACTGCCACAAGACAGAGCAACAGGCCGTGGCTTGAATTCCAAGGCCTTTAATGTGCAGCTAGCCTGCCTGAGATTCACCCTAGCTCCTCCCAGTGTTGCCATGCCCCACCCCCATGCCAGCACCTCCCCAACTCCCTTTCCACTGTCCCTCTCACTGCCCTTGCAGCTGCCCTCACTCCTCACTGGGGGCCTGGCCCCTCACTCTGGGCCCCTTAGGTGGGAGTAGGTGGGGGTGCTGCCAGAGCCCCCGCTGCCCCCAGCATCAACATGGCCAGAGCCTTAGGCCCTGTGGTGTGGATCTTTTCATGCCGGTGCAGGTTGGAACGCCTGCTGAAGCTCTTGCCGCAGAGAGGGCAAGAGTAGGGCCGGACGCCGCGGTGGGTGCGCTGGTGGGCAGTGAGGTGCGAGCTGTGGCTGAAGCTCTTGCCGCAGTCGAGGCAGTGGTACGGCTTCTCCCCGGTGTGCGTGCGGTTGTGCGCGATGAGGTTGGAGCGCTGGCTGAAGCACTTGCCGCACTCAGGGCACGGGTAGGGCTTGACCCCTGTGTGGGTACGCTGGTGGGTGACCAGGGCTGAGCTCTGTGTAAAGCACTTACTGCAGATGGGACACTTATGGGGCTTGGCTCCTGTGTGCGTGCCCTGGTGAGTGACCAGGTCCGAGCGGCGGGTGAAGCGCTTGGCACAGCGGTCGCACACGTAGGGCTTTTCGCCCGTGTGGATGCGCTGGTGCTGAATCAGCGTAGAGTGGTGGCTGAAGCTCTTCCAGCAGGAGGGGCAGGTATAGGGCTTCTCCCCGGTGTGGATGATCTGGTGCTGAATGAGGTGCGAGCTGCGGCCGAAGCGCTTGCCGCAGTCTGTGCAGGCGTAGGGTTTCTCACCTGTGTGCGTGCGTCGGTGCGTCACCAGGTGGGAGTGCCAGCTAAAGCCCTTGCCACACTGCTCGCATTTGTAGGTCTTCTTGCTGGCATCACCATCAAGGACCAGGCCCTCCTCGCTACTTTCAGGGGCTCCTGTCTCCCCTTTGCTGGGTTTCTCTGTGAGGCCAGTGTTGGACAGGGTTGTTTCCAGACCTCTCTCCTCCGGGGGGCCCGGCTGCCCGTCGTCTTTGGCTCGCCCCAATCTCTGGCCACTGGCTGCTTGCCATCCACACTGTAGGACATTGCCCTGTGCTCCCCCTGGCCTGGTCCTAAAGGACTTCACATCCCCATGGACTGTCTGGGATGAGGTCGGCTCCTTTCTCACCTCCACCGCTCCTGGAGAAAGGTTTTCCAACCAGAGATAGGCTTTTGTGAGGGACCTAAGGGAATTCCAAAGATGGAGAAAAGGGCAAGGACCTGAGGGGAACCTGGGAAATGACTGCCACCCTCTGCAGAGGAGGGGAGGCTGGCGCCCTACCTCAGCAAGGGCCACGTGTTTGCACCCCACGGGAAATAAAGCCTGCACTGACAAGGGGCACCTAGGAGCGACAGGGACAACCCACTGCCCACCCATCACCTCTGAACGCACCTCTCTTCTCCTCTTCATCTCCCATCTGCAGGCATGAACTTGAGGCTTCGCCCTTGCCCTGCACCTGGGAGGCCCAGAAAGTTCTGCTGAAGGGAAACCCTGCCCAAAAAGAGATGCAGTGCTCAGTCACTGACCTCCCCGGCTGCCCAGCAGGAGACACCACCCCCACAAGTAGTGACAGAGCAAAGGGGAATGAGTGCAACTCTGGAAACACCAGGTAATACCACACGAGCTCAAAGTTTGCTTGGGATGAGGTGTCCACCCTCTCTAGGAAGCATGTTCCAGGGTCACCACTAGACATACTCTTTTCAGGGCTAAGTCAGGGCTCTGCCTCATTTCCCTGAACAAGCACCAGAAATAAAGGGAGAGGACTGGGCCAGGTCAGCTGCTAGCAACCCACTTCCTCACACAGCCCCAGCAGTGGACCCAGAAACATTAGAAAACAGTCTCCCACTCCTGCACCTACACCTTCCCAGGACCATCAGCAAAAAGGGCTCCTGGGGGAGGGCCAGGGACAAACAGAGGCCAAGTGGGAGGGTCTGAGACAAGAGGGCCAGGGACACTGACCACCTAGAAGTCAAGGACCACAGGTCCATTTACCAAGTCCCTGGGTAAGGGCCCAATAATTCTGGTCAAGTCAGTAAGAGAGCAGAAGGCCTGGCCTCCATGCCATGATCCAAGCCCCATGGGAGGAAGGGAATGTGTTGGACAAACTAGGTGATTTAGGTCATTTGTGAGGTCTGTCATGGGGCCACAAATGGGTGCTAGGTTCCCTCTGATCTTCTAGGACTTGCCCAGACCTAGGAGTATTAACAACAGGTGGTAAACAAACCTGAGTCAATTAAAGGAGTAAGCAGGGTGGTTGTGATCTTGGGGTCCACCAGGGATAACAGGGTCTTGGCCCATCATTGAAGTCAAAGGGTGGCTTTACCAAGCCCCCAGCTCCACTTTGACTAGCAGATGTGCAACAGGAGTGTATTGACAGACATACTAACTGAATGAATAACAATGAATGAACACTCTGAGTTTTCCATAAGATCTTATAAAATCTGCCAAGAAAACTAGAGTCTGAAAGTGAGGAGTCAATGTCCTAGGACATAACTACTTAGTATGAGAAAAACTGAGAGAGACAGGCCCCTCTGAGAAGAGGACACACCCCTTGGGGCAGATGTGACAGCTCAGAGTCTATAAGATTGGAGATTAACTGGCACCATGTCCCCCCTACCTCAGGCATGCAGCCCTGACCCCAGAGCCAAGTTTTCTGCTCAGATACTTCTAAAGCCTGGCTTTGAAAAAAAGGATGGTGAGCCCTGGCTGGTTTTCCTCAGCAGTTAGAGTGTTGGCCCACAGACCAAAGAGTCACGGGTTCAATTCCAGTCAAGGGCATGTACCTCAGTTGCAGTTAGGTCTCCGGCCCTGACTGGGGTTTTTCAGGAGGCAACCAGTCAATGTGTCTCTCTCATCAATGTTTCTTTCTCTCTCTCTCTCTCTCTCTCTCTCTCTCTCTCTCTCTCTCTCTCTCTCCCCCCATCTTCCCTCCCACTCTATCTGAAAATAAATGGAAAAATATCCTCGAGTGAGGATTTTAAAAAAAAGGAGGGTGGAACTATACAAATAAGCATCACAGAAGAACCAAAAAGAAGCAGAATCTCTAAGTAGGCACCATCTAGTACCGCAGCCAACTAGCCACATGTAGCTATTTCAGTTCAAATTTGAGCTGATTAAAATGAAATAAAATTAAATACTCAGTTGCTGTAGCCACATTTTTAGTGCCCAACCGCCACATCTGGATCATGGCTACCATCTCCATATACGGAGCATGCCCATCATTAGGAAGGTTCTATAGAACAGTACAGTCTATGTGAACAATGGAGAAGGGTTTAAGCCTTAGAAAGCTGGGAAGTAACAGTGGAATAGACCCCACCTCTGACATCCAGGGCCTTGGGAAGTGGTTGCTCCAGAACAAGTGCCAGCCCTTACCCAAGGCCAGCCCATTTCGCTTCTGCAGGACATCCTGGTAGAAACTCTGTTGTGTGTGGTCCAGCCGCCCCCACTCCTCCCGGGAGAGGTACAGAGCCACATCCTCAAAGGTCACTGGCATCTGAAACAACATGAAATGCCTACTTTACAAGACATGACAAGATACAGTGGTGGGGCCTGATGGTGCCAAGATGAGATCCCAACTCCCAACCTGCTGCCCAGGTCTGAGGGTGAAGCAGGAGCCACCCAAGGATGGCTTATTGGGGGCAAGAATATGGCAGCTGTGTACAGCAGATGATAGGAGACAAAAACAAGAGAGGCCTTCTTTTCCAAAACCACAGCCAAAGCTCAGGATCTCCAGCACATTCCCCTCCAGCCTTCACCCTTGGGTCTGGTACTGAGATCTGGAGGGTGATGCAGTCAGAGACGCTGTCCCTCCATGTCTTTCTGTTCCCCCTCCAACCTTGGACAGGGGCACTCACCTGGGACCAGGCAGTGAGGAGCGCTGCGGCCATCTGCCGGTCTCTGGTCCTCCCCTCATGGGAAAGCACAGGGATCTGGGGGGAGGGGAGGGCTGAGAGAGGAGAGAGGTCCTCAGGGAAGCCACCTCACCCTGCTGCATCCTACTGTTCTCCAAGCAGGCTCATGCCTGGCAAGCCCACAACTGCCCTAGACTCCACCCTTGACCCCACCCACGAAGAGGTCAGTAGGCTCTGAGGCTGTGCCAGGGTGGCCTCCAAGAGGCAAGTGGACAGACACCCAGGCATCTCTCCTGACCATGACAGGGACCTCTTCCCCTCCCCACCTGGGCTTTGAGCCTCTGCCTCTCCCCACAGCTGCTGCCCAGGAAAGCAGCTCTCTTCACATCCCTCTCCTCACCTCCACCAGGCAGAAAAAGAGCTTTCTCCTTAGAGCCCTGGCTTAGGCGCCCCCAGCTCCAAGCTCTTTGAGCCCTGTCCTCCTGCGATGCCCCCTCAGGGTGTGGCTCTTGCAGCTCTGTCTTAATGTAAGGTGACTCCCGAGCGGCTCCCAAAGGCACCACCTCCTTTGACTCGGGAAGAATTTCTTGACAAGGATGCCCATGATCTGGAACCTAGAAATGGTAGCCCCAATCAGTACTGGGACGGAGACTGGGATACACAGCCAAGCACCATGTGCTCCATACCCAGGGGTCCCTGCAGGGGCAGACACCTAGAATGGTGGAACACACAACCAAATACAAGGCATGGCTTGAAGGACTGGCCTTCCTTCCTTCTCCTACCCTCAAGGACCTGTGCATCTCCTGCTTGCTCCTGGAAGAGAAGGAAGGCAGACTTAGCAAGGCCCTGCTAGGTGCAGGCTGACTAAGTGCCCACAGAGCAGCTGCCTGCTTCAGTTCAAGCCTCGCACCTCTAACAGCAGTGTGGATTTTTTTTTTCTTTCTCAATTTTTAGAGAGAAAGGGAGAGGGAGAGAGAAACATCAATGAGAGAACATCAATTGGCCACCTCCTGCATGTCCCCTCTGGGGATCAGGCCCACAACGTGGGCATGTGCCCTGACCGGGAATTGAACCGGCGACCTCTTGGTGCATGGATCGACGCTCAACCAGTGAGCCACACTGGCCAGGCTGTATTATTATTTTTAATATATGAGGAAACCAAGTGTAATGGGTTGAAACTATAATGACTAGTGTCTTTATAAAAAGAGGAAAGGACACAGAAACATGGAGGAGGCCATGCGAAGACAGAAGCAAAGACTGGAGTAATGCTGTCACAAGCTAAGGAACACCTGGGGTCCCCAGAAGCTGGAAGAGGCAGGAAGGATCCTCTCCTAGAGCCCTGGGAAGGAACCCTACCAATACCTTGATTAGGGGTTTCTGGCATCCAGAACTGTGAGAGAATAAATTCTGGTTGTTTTAAGCCACCAAGTTTGTGATCCTTCGTTATGGAAGCCCCAGGAAACTAACATACCCAGGCTCAAAGATCAGACAATGGCCCAAGATCATGAGTGGCTCAAGCAGGATTGGAACTCAAGTTTATCTGACTCCCAAGTCACCCCTAGGGCCACCATGTCTTGAAGATGACAGGGAAGCATCATGTGGCATTGGGCCATTTCCAGCGTGACTCAATTTGGTTAGAGAAGTTGGGGTTTTTTGGCTTGAAGAAAAAAGCCCGTGTGCCACTAAATGTGCTGAGGCTTGGTGTCCATCTTGGTCTGACAGGAGAACTCCTCTCCAGCTCACCCTCTTCAGCACAACCCCACCCAGTGAGACTTTAGGGTCCTGCCCACTCATCCTCCTTGGGCACACCAACCTCAGCCCCAGTCCTCTGGGAGAGTGAAGAGCAGGCTTTATTCAGGTGACTGGGGCTCAAATCCAGAGCCATTCCTCACTAGCCATTCAACCCTAAGTAGGCTCCGCCTTCACCCAAACCTCAAGAGCCTCATTTAAGTCACTTCCCTTGCACTGGGAGGCCCCTGGTGAAGCCTCACTATCATCCACAGCATGAGGACTGGCCAGCCTTCTGCTGGGGACTTATGACTGTCCCTCTCCCCTCCACCAATTTCCATCTATGTTAGGGTCTCGAAAGGAAAGACCCTAGGCCAGGAGTCACAGTGCCTGGGAGCCACATGGGTGAGGCAGCCTCCAAGGCTCAGCAGCTCTGTCTCTACAGATAACATGTGAGCAAGAGCTGTCCACTCCAGAAAGTTCTGGATAAACACAAAACAGTGCCTGTAATTATTATTATTACTCTACTTGTGAGCTGACTGACAGAACCCTACATCAGTAGAGAATGTCATGGGCATGTGAGGCCTGTTGGTGTTACAAGGCACTGTGGAATGGAAACCAAACAGTGGTAACACTTCTTTGTGCTAATACAGTAGGAAAAACATAGAACTAGTATTTGATTTGTATTTGTACTTACAACCACTGGAATTACTAGGTGAGGGGATGCAGGTCTCTCTGACCTAGGTTCCAGTTGCTGTGGGTGTTTTTGTATTATGTGTTACAATAATGATCTCCTGCAGGCTGATGAATTGCTTAAAGGGGATTCTTGTGCCCATTATCTCTTCTGAGCCTCCCAACCACCTGGATGAGATGGATGGGAACAGTAGGCACATGATCTGTATATTATAGATCATACACCTGGTTTACAGAGGCCTGGGGACTTGCCCAAGTCACACACCTGGCTGTGACTGACTCATATTCCTCTGATTACAAGCCTGGTAACTCTGGTCTCCCTGTAGGTTGTAATTACACACACACACACACACACACACACACACACACACGCATGCATGAACACAAACAACAGGAACAGGAAAGCCTAGGTTCTCAGACCCAGAGAGAGGAGAAGGGGTTCCCAAGCTGAAAACAATGCATGTGTGTTTATATGTGTGTGTGTAAGAGAGAGAGAGAGAGGGAGGGAGGGAGGGAGGGAGGGAGGGAGGGAAAGAGAGAGAGGGAGAGGGAGGGAGGGAGGGAGGGAGAAACTGAGGCTTTTCTGTGTGCTCTGGGTTCTGTTCAGAGAGCTAGCATCACCAGTAGAACCCCTACACAGCCTACTGCTACCTCATGTGGCCTCTGGTCTGCTGACTATGGAATTCACCAGGCCAAGCAATGCAGTTCCGTAGAAGTCAATTCCCCAGTGGAAGGTATTTCCCTTTACACCACCTTCTCTTCAATACTCCCCTTCACCCCCATCCACCAGCCTTGCACCCCAGTGAGTCTAACACTTCCATTGGTCCAGACACCCTGATGTGAAGATCCTGTCCAGCTCCAGTTCCTTCCAGAGCACACCTCCCTCACCTGGTGTCCCATTCATACCTCTTGGGCTCTCTCTTTGTCCTGGGTAGCCCGGATGCCTCCATGGTCTGCAGACATTTTCTATCTCAGAGAAAGAAAGTACAGCTGAGTTGTTTCTCCTTCTGTTGGCCAAGCCCCCTCCAGCTGCTGACCAGGAGCCTGGAAGAGCAGAAGGAAATCAGCCAGCATCTCCTAGACACCTCTGAAGCGCCTCAAAAATCCTGTGTAGGTCCAGATCCATCTCTGTTTTCAATAAAAAAATAAAGCCTCCTGATGCCATCCAATGGCCTCCTTCTCTGTTTTCAGGTCCCTCACGTCTACAGAATGCTCTTTTGTATTGTCCCCTTTGTCACTGAAACAGGAGCCCTGCCTCTCATAGCAATCAGCTTAGGGAAAGCCAGGGCTGACTAGGAATCTATCTCCTGTCATCAGAAGCCAAAAGGTCTGCAAAGATCCTACAAAACAGGTGCTGCGTGGGGCCCCAACCAGCACAGCTGGCTCAGCTGAGGAATTCAGGCCCTGCCAGCTTCCCGGCCCAGGACACACATATATATACCTTGTGCTCAACCTGACTCAGCCATGCCTGGGATCCAGAAATTGATCTGCCCACTCTTAGCAGCCCTCCCTGCGGCTGCAGCCCCCCGCCTTGGCTCAGGAGTCCATGCAGCTCACAATCCTGGACAAGATGTCCTTCTCATCCTTCCCCTTCCCCAGCCTTCCAGGCCCCCTTCTCTCCAAGCCCTCCACCTTTGACCCCGTCCCCTCCTGCCAGCTGGCAGCCTGCACCGGTTTCTGGATCCAGGTCCCCTCCCCAGACCCCCGCCCTCACTGAAGTGGAGGTGGATAGGGCACCTCAAACAGCAGGAATAAGGACCCTCCCCTGGGAAAGGAGTCTCAGTAGTCTGCACCGGGGAAAGGGAGCCGGGTGGAGACTGGGATTAAGGACAACAGGAAGTCCCTCCCAGATCCTGTTCCCCACATAGCTGCAGTCCTAGAGGGTTCCTGGCTTCGAGGGTTCCGGGCTTAGGGTCCCGAGCCCTGCTATACCTACTCTTGGCCAGAAGGTCACTCCCAGATCCGCATTAGCAGCTCACGATCACTTTTCCCATCACGTAATACTCA